AGGCGCCGGCCTGTCAGCTCAGCAGACTAAAGCTCCTTCTTAGGCAGAACGCAGTGGCTGGGGTTCAATCCCCGCCATGCCAAGCCAGCCCTGACTGGGCGTGGCAGTGTGCCTGTAATCCCAGCGCTTGGGAGGCTGAAAACAGGAGAATCACTACAAGTCCGATATATGTAGTGAGACCCTGTGGACCCTGTCCTAAATGCAGAAAAGTTGGGGGGGATAAACTTAATGTGATCCTATTTATCTTTAAAGGTACCGAGCATGATGTGGTGGCACATGTCTGTAAAACTAGCACTCTGGGAGGCTGAGACAGGAGGACAAACAAGTATGAGCTATGCCCTGGCAGTTTAATAATTTAGTGACTTTGTCTCAAAATAAAAACAAAAAAAGCCCCAGTACCACAAAAAGCACATACAGCAAACGGTACCTACAAAAAACCCCACAGCTAAAACTAATGGTTTGGTTGGAAGTGGTGATGCACATCTATAATCCCAGCACTCAAGAGGCAGAAGCAGGAGGATCCTTGCAAGCTCAAGGCCAGCCTGGACTGCACAGTGAAATGCTGCCTCAAAAAGACAAAATAAAAATGAAAATAGAAACATTCCCAGTGGTTCAAGAACAAAGGACGAAAGAAAAGGAAATGAAACTAGAAAAATTAACCTGGAAATAGTAAACAAGCCAGACTGGACTGAGAGGCAGGGAGACCAGTTAGCAGAGGACTGCAATACCCCAGTACAAGAAAAAAGGCACTGAACTAAGATGCAAGTAACAGAAAGAGAATTCTTTATATGCTAGAGCAGAGCTTCACCACTTCTTGTGATTCTACATATTTCAAGGGAATTTCACCTAAGTGCCCAAATCAACCCAAGAGGCCCCAATCACCGAGGCTATTAAATGACTACAACGTTCCTGCGTTCCCGAATGTGCACACCACAGGGTCACAGGACGGATAATCATGTACCAAGTCAAAGGGTTCATCTTCCAAAACACATAATGTAGCGATTATCAGCTCTCGAAGGTTCACATTATTTCTGCACTAACATTTAACAATGCTCTTGGGAAATGACAAACAATCATGTTTTGAGGACAAATATTTTTAGTATTTTTTTTTCTTTCCATCATCTTTATCAGTGCAGATATTTGCATGAAAACAGGATCACTGGCCCTTGGGGACTCATCAGTTCTTACTGCTTATTTTTCATCCATGTCATCCTCTCAATTAATGCAGGAAAGAGGATTGAGACATTGAGACACCAGATTAGGATGTCAAGTAAAAGCCAACCCCTAGAGTGGATGAATAATCTGCAAGGACAAAAAAAGATCTTGTTTTTATGCAAATATACTACACACAATAAAACAAAGAGACTGCACTGGACAAGTCTAGTGCATAGGAGTGAAATGATTTCCAACTGTAAGTTTAAAAGCTCTTTATGTCAGCTAAAATCACTATGGTCAAGAAAAGTGGCAACTGGTTGAAATGCTGCTATAGAACTTGAAATAAAGCTGAATTTTGAACCTGAAGATAATTCTGAAGAATCTCAGCTGCACTAATGGAGAAATCTAGTAGAAACAAGCATGTGTTGTGTTAGTTTGGGGTCAATGATTAAGGTGCTGAGTCAGGTGACTTCAAGTCCCCACACCCAATGCCTCAAGGTTATGGAATTAATAAAACAGTAAGGATGGCTTTAATTGTGTATACTAAAACAAAGCAAACAGAAGAAGACCATATACAATTTACGAAACTACTTTTGGAATCATTCCACTTAGCACAAAACTTGAATTTTTGAAGAAAATGGCATGTCACAGTAGTACTCTCAGCTGCCCAGAGGTACACACTTGTAATCCCAGCACTTGGGAGGACTGCTAGGAGTTTGAGGCCAGCTTGGGATACATAATGAGTTCAAGGTCAGCCTGCATTGCATAGCAAGACCCTGCCAAAAGAAAGAAAGAGGGGGGGGAGAAAGAGAGAGAGAGAGAGAGAGAGAGAGAGAGAGAGAGAGAGAGAGAGAGAGAGAGAACGAACAAGCAAGCAATCTATCTCAAGATTCTGGATTAATGATATCTCAGGTTCTACCCAATGTATTCGTGTTGGGTATCTCTTCTTGCAACTACAAAGTGAGACTTCCTTAGAATTCCTTTTCCAGTTTTATGAGTGTACTATGAGAAGGGACACAATGTGGAGCATCAAAAAATAAAAAATAACAGACAGGCACGGGGAAATTTAAAATGCATGACTCATGGCAACAGACACACTCTCGGGCTAGCACAAGTCTCTTCCTTAGAGAGCCAACTCTTTCCCCCGTTCCACATGGCGTGCGTCACACCAGCCCCTCCCTCTAACCTGCACGTATCCCTAAGACTGCAGCCTGGTGCATCAGAGTGTTCCGGCTGGCCAAAGGATTCATTCAAGGATGGTACACCAGCCCACAGAGAACAGTCAGTCTTTTAATTTATGTGAACTAATAAAGTCTCTTCTTTGGCTCATGCCAGTTTGAGTTGATCTATCACTTACAACCGAAAGGGTTCCGATAGACTTTTACTGCGCAGAGAAAAATAATCTGTTACCTAGTAAATCCAGTAATTACTCTAGCACCCTGTCTCATAAAAGGTATACTTTAGATCACACTGATCCCTTAACTTCAGACTACTTAGGTTTTCCCTAAAAAGGGAAAATTATATTTTCCAGAATTACAACTGGACCCCATCATGGAACGCACAGCATGCAGCCCTGAATAAGGGTGACGGGTACTCACACTCATCCAGCCCCAGCTGGTAGGCCAGGTTCTGCAGGCCTCGTACCTTCTCCATCAGATTAGCTGTGGTGAGGCTTCCCAGTTCTGAAACAGAACCATTGATTTCAACACCATTTCTTCCCACTATCCTCTAGTAACAATTCATTTACATTGGGAATCCTGATTATAAAAATGTTCAGGTTTGGCTGAGGGGTATAGCTGAATGTTGAGCTTAGTATGGTTTAATCTCCAACATGGAACAAAGGGAAGGAGGGAGGGAGAGGAGCAGCCAGGGAGAGGGAGGGAGAGAGGGAGGGAGGAAAGGCATTTTCAAGCATAACTCCCATTGAATAAGTAGAAAATGGATCCATATCGGTTGTCCTCCTATCTTACACACACGCACACAAATCAGTGACATTTTCCACTACTGTAAAAATGACTTCGATGAGCCCTCCCATGTAATAAATTGGATTAGCATAAACACTGTAACAAATTGTTTAAACTAAGGGTCCTCTGTTTATCATGAATACACCACTAATATATGAAAACTCAGGCCAGGGAGACAGCTCAATGGCATAAGCACTTGCCCGGCAAGTGCAAGGTCCTGAGTTCAAGCTCCAGTACCAAAAAGAACTGAAGAAGCCTCCCAGGTCATCTTCCAAATGAACACTGTCTCTGAATCTCCAAAATTTCAACTAACATACAGTAGTAACAAAGCATTATTTCCCACTTTGTTAATTGTAGAAAACATTAAATATAAATCCAAAACTCCCTTCAAGTGAAATTCTTATTTAAAATATTTGAGGGAGTGGGGCATAGCAATGGCAGAGTGCTTGCCTAGCGGCATACGGCCCTCCACTCTACCCTAGTACCCAAAGTAAAAATACAATACACTTAACATAACAGCATCCAGTTCCTTTAGGTTTAAGACACAGGTCAACTGGCACGAAACAGAATGGCATGATCTCTCACTGCAAGTGTCAAGTTGCCCTAGAAGCCACACACCAATGGGTCATTCTATAAAAGTCTGTCCAGAACATTACAACAATGAGCCGAAGATGCCCTTGAGACTTAGTTTTTCCACAGCTGGAGGAGGGCTCTGCATTCAAGCACGCAGAACAGTGAATTACTTCGGAAACCAAATGAGGGTTCTCTCCCCTCTCATCCATCATGCTGCAGTCATTATCTGTCTCGGGCAGAAGCAGCTCTCCCGACCTGCTCAGCTGCTCCAATAGCTCAAGAATCGCAGATTTTTACCTTAATTTCAGTCTATTACTTCATAACCATCATGAATCTTACCACCAGAAGAATGATGATAAAAAAAAAATCATGGAAAATTAATGTTTTTAATTTAAATTTCTACTCTGTGATTGAGTTCCAAACCATTTATCAAATAACAATATTCATAGACTCTTTTCTGGAAGAAACTGATAAGTTAGAAAGAACGAGAAGACAGGTCCCACTGAGGGGCTGCCCCTTTAGCAGTACTGACAACAATATGTAGCATTAAATTTTAAATAAGGCACTTTA